GCCGCCGCCGGAGCCTGGCTCGCCCACTCCGAGGGTGCCGCCGGGGCCGCCCGCGCGCCGCTGCCGCCCATCATGCCTGCACACAAAACACACACACGCGCGTGGGCTCAGGGGCAGCCGCTGCTGTGGGCGCAAACGCGGCGACGCTGCTCCACGCGCACCGCGTGGCGCCCGAGCTGCTGCCGCTGCCGGGACGCGAGGAAGGGCCTCCCGTCATTTCGGGCAAGCGGGTGCCCGGGCGTGCGGACACCCCCTGCCTTCCTTCCCCAGGAAATGAAGCACGTTTGCGGGCACGGGCGCGCGCCGCGGGGGCTTCGCTTTCCAAGCGCTTTCCAAGCGCTAAGCGAGGACAGAGATGGCAGCGCCAGGCTGCCCAGCAGGAGGGCTGCATTTGAGCTTGGCCTCGCCTGCCCGTGGCTTCTGGCCGGCCCCTGTGCTCGGCATCGAGCCGGCCCTCGGCGCCCAGCTCACGCACACGGGCTCGGGCCCCCAGACTGCGCGGGGAAATCACGCACAGGAACTTTCCGACAGAGGCTGCACTTCCCTACCGTTATTTTAGGGGAAGTCCTCCTACATCTGCACCTCAGTAAACAACAACCGAGGCAGTTTATTTACACTTGGAAAATATCCAGTACTACTCTGAGAGCAGTTGAAAAAAATTAAAAGCCCCCAGAACTGTTCATTCATAGCAATTAAACATTGACATTTTGTACAGGTAAGGGAGCAGATAAACCACAGCTTTCAGCTTGGACTGCTGGTCTCTAGCTGCATTTTGCAWCAAACTTGAACAAATACTGAAAAATACCCCCAATATTTATTATTCACCAGYCCGACCACTTGGTGATACACAGGCAAGGAGGAAAACCCTCTAAAGGTTGTCCTCTCTTTGGCTGCAGTGCAAGACCTGCTTCCATGGTACCAGCCCAGTTGTGCTGTGCTTTATTCTTTCAGCTGAAAGATGTGGTGCACTAAAGCAAATGGCAGGAATATATATTATACACTCTAACTTGTATATATAAGATGAGTAACATCCTCTAAAATGTATACATAACATGAAAGTTAACAGGACACTTGAAAGACCACAAGTTGACCTCTAAGCTGCTCAAACAGGATATTTCCGTGTCCAGCAGTATTTTTATTACTGATAGAAACTCAAGATAAATCTTCGATAGTCAATAGATTGTTCGAAAGACTTAAAGCATCCAATTACTCAAGTTTTTAGCTGCTCTTTCCCACTTGGCCAGTCTCAGGCTACCCGCTAGTTGAAGGAGGTCATTCACTCAAACCTTTCCTGCGATGCCCTCTCTGGTAYCTTTGTACAGTGTTAAGGCAACATGAAGAAACCGGTGCACTGTAAACCAGGCCTAATTCATGAGGTAGCGAATGAGGTCATTAGAAAATGACATAAAGGATCTTCATTTCTGTTATTTAAAATGAAAACAAATATTAACAAATAAAGGATAAGTGACGGTAATGGCAGAGAATAGTCATGGTAAGGGCAATAGCATTGCCCTCAGATTTGTTCTGGAAGGACTTTGCCCATCCAAGACTCAGATGAGCCTGGGATAATGATATGAACCAATTTACCTGCCAATATCACGAATTTATCTAAAAATCTGCAGGCAAGTGAGCAGCAATGAGCAAAGAGCACATCTAGAAAACCTGCATTTGGAAACAGAAGTTGTTCAAAAGAAACATACAACAAACACCAGCCCACTGAACACAAATGTGCAAAATGCATCTGCAGTTTTAACAGCCCTAACACTGAGTTACACATGATACAGATTATTATTGTATCATATAGATTCACAACATAGATTAACCAAACATAGCAGAGCAAGTGGAAAGACCTCTTACCTGTGCTGTTGTTCCCTAATGTTCCTTGGTTTCCTATCATCCCCTCATTCCTGCCCATGAGTCCCGGCTGAGGTATCACGGAATAGGGGCTGCTCGTTCTTATGGGGGGGAAATTTCCGGCGCCCGCTGGATTCTGCAGTGAGATGTCGAGTGGTAAATTCTGGTTTGGCAACAACCTGCCCAGTTGCCCTGCTCGGGGGTTATTAAAAGCTAGACAAGAGGAGCAAACAAAAAGCAAAGTTACAAGAATGGAAACTTGTAAGAAAATAACACACCAAACCAAACCAAAATATACCTCAAGCTCTAGGGTTGAGTTATTTAGCCCCACGTAATTAGCCTGTTCCCTATCTGTGTGAGAAACTTGCCTCTAGACATTGTAATGCACATTTCAAAATGGAACATTCTGACATCAAAACGGATATGGTTTATATTTTTAAACCTTCAAGTGGTACAATTCAACTGACTGAAGCACAACTACAGCAAAACATACCACTATGTGATGTGCATACTACCCCCATTAACCGCATGCCTAGTGGGACTGTGATTGAGCGCAGGTGTCATCCTGAGGTGGGATTTTCCAAAGCTTTAAAAGTTTTCCAACTTGAACTGTGCTCCTGAAGAAGTTACTAAAATTAAGGACAGATTAAGGCTCGATTGAATTCTACAGCCCCATTTCTATATCTCCCTCCTAATTTTATTTATTTATTTATTTACAGCACTTGTCATTAATAAAAATATATACTTTCACCCAGCAACAATGAATAAAGGGTCCAGATTCTGAGTTCTGACACCCTTATAAACTGGAAATAGGGATGCACTTGCTGTTTATCATCACCTTTACAGAAACATTTTCTTCTCTTGATGCCCTTGTGTGTTTTGTGCTCTTACAATCAGCCTCTGCAGAGAAAACTATAAGCTGTCTTAGGGAAGGGAATTTCAGCTCTTGGCTGGCCAGCACCTGGGTCAGTTGGTTTTTGGGAGATCTTTAGTGCATGAAACTTGTGCACTTCTCAAACATCAACCAAGTACTGGGCATACAAGATTCCTTCTCCAGTCATACCAACAAAATACAAAATTATTTTTGTAATATTATTATTTGCAATTAGTTCTGATAGCTTCCCCTAGGACAGTCTCTGATTTGGTGTCATCATTTAAACAACTTATTTGTAATGAAGTGACTAAAAATGGAGAAGTCAAAGAACTTCTTTCTTACTTTAGATCCCRGTACTGATACCGATACCTCTGAACTCAAGACCATTTATTGAGCTTATTAAGAAGTACAAAAACATCCTATCACCCAGGTCTCTGACTTTTCTTCTTATGGTTCTTATGTTATGAAACCAGATTATAGGAACTTACTGCATTTTCTTTAACTCTCTGCCAGGTGGACATGCTTATATGTGTGTATAGGAAATAAATTACTTCATATATGCCTCACTCCTAACCATCAGGTCTCAATTTTCTTATCAATACCTGTTCAAACAAGCAAGCTAAACCGACCTCCCCAAGTGCAGGAGTACCAGAAATTCTAAGGACAGAACTAAAACCTACCTGAAGGCTAAAACCTAAGAATCAATTTCAAGAAAGTTTGCTCTAGAAGTTTGAAAAATAATACAGATGAGGAAGTTATAATGCAGGTAACCACTGATCCAACAAACRAAAAGCTGGAAATGCAGCACAAAATAGCAACAGGGCTCATGAGACGTGACGGTGCTCAGATCCTCAGATCACGCAGCGAGGATGACACCAAGGGAGGCTCCTGCTTCCCAAACAATAAACTTTAGGAATCTCACAGAACTAGCAGCTTTCAATTCTTTCAGGAACTTTCAAAATAGATTAAAATATTGAAAGCATTTTCATACAAAAGCTTTTACAAACGAAGGCGCACTATTTCTCCGGAAAAAAAATTCTTTAAGAATGACTTTGGGAATTGCATATGATTTGACCTTGATCCTACATCGCTTTTATGGGAGGATAAAAGAGGTTAYGATGTCTCTGCACTTGTTCTCTCTATGCTGTGCTCGTATACTGAAAACAAGGCAGAAAACCTCTCGGGAAGAAAGATACAGACATGAGACTGAGCTGATCCACATGCTGCTTTAGTTTCCCCATATGTAAAGAAAAAGGAGTACATTAAATATAAGCATCTTTCTTCGTGCAATATTCACATGGTTTCAATGTATTATAGTTTAAGAAATTATGGCATTTTAAAAATAAATTTAAATATTAACATTAATTTAGATGTTTCTATCAATAATTTGAGTTTACTTGAAAGTGGAACGATGTTATTCTTGAAAAGAAGTTTTTTCTTGACAGCAACAAAAGGACTACAGTCTAATGGAAGCATTAAGTAAATACTAAGTTTGAAAATATAAACCTAAGAGTGTACATTTATGGAATTAACTGGATGGATAGTAGGCTGCCATCCTAGCCTAGGGAAAAAAAGCAGAACAGTGGCTTTTAGGCTCTTATTCAGCATTCATCACAGATAACTTCCTGTCTTGCTTTCAATTGTTTTACAGTGGTAGAATCAATACTTCTCTCCTGATCTGTAATTTTATTAATAAAGTTACGGACATGTCAGCTAGAAAGCAGCTCAATTAAAAGCCACAATTTCAAAATTTAGTTAGGCATCTCTTCTAATCATAGGTCTTCCTATTAATATTGTGGTCTTAGAAGAACTTTCATTCATGCTTTGATAAGCTTTTCTCTCCCCTTYTAGAAAGAGCTGCTTAAGAAACAGCACCTGCACCACAACAAAACGCATCTGAGAAGCCTCCCAATATTAGCATAACATAGAGCCACAGCTCCTATTTTCTGAGACAAAAATGTTGCTCTGAGAGCGGCCCTTTCAGCCCCTCGGAGGGCAGGGGCTTGGAGGGGACTCTGTGACTTGCGCCTGAGGGCTGGCGTGTTTGGAAGGGGCACGGCCGCAGATGGCGCCAYGTCACCGTGCGACACGGGCAGGCGCCGTGGAGCACCGAGCTCCTGGCTCTGCCGACCACAGCTTCCCACAAGTTCCCAGCTGTGCCTGCCGGACACTCACTGCTCTGTGAAAGCCGCATGGCCGGTTTGTGGGCGGGCGCGGGGGCGCCGGGGCTGCCCTCGCTGCCCAGCTGCATGAGGTCGTTGATGATGGCTTGCTTGTCCACGGAGCCCGCCGGCGCGCCGCCGCGGCCGTCCGCGAAGAGCTGCGGCAGCTGGCTGTTCTGCAGGTCGTCCAGGATCTCCTCCAGGTTGTCCAGCTCGCTGCCCGGCTGCAAGGGAAGCAGAGAGGGCAACGTGGCGGCTCACCCGCACCGCAGCCTGCGCAGGCCCCATGGCCTCTGCAGGCCCCATGACCTCTGCAGGCCCCACAGCCTCCACCGGCCCCACAGCCTCCACAGGCCCCACAGCCTCCACAGGCCCCA